AGACATACAAAGTCAAATACTGCTTCCGAACGCTACCCCTCCAAAAATCAATTTTGCTCGAAGACCGAACCGCAACGGAGTTTAGTTACCAGTCTTATGCTGCGTGTTATTAGATAGAACGCATGATATGATTGGCTCCGTATATCACATTACGTCAGAGGACATGTCTGCTACATAGGACATAACTGCAACGGTACATGCGTCACACTTCATCGGAGTTCATCGGAGTTTATCAGAGTTCATCGGGGCGCATCGGAGTTGAAGTGGCGCAGCTTTCGTTCCCAGGCTTCTATCTTCTCTTTGTGTATTACAGGGAATATGGGAAGTTTCTTTAAGGAAGAGAGGAGAGGGGATTTGGAAGATCAGTCCAGAGTGCATCGGGGGCGGGGAGCGGGGGGCTGGGGGAGGAAAGGAGGTGGCCGAGTTTACCCGACAAATGGAAAGCACCCTTGCAGTTCTTCCAAGCTCATCACAATGTTTGTGTCTGGCTGAATTGGACCCTTTTTTTTTTTTTTTTTTTTTCACCATTAGGCAACTAACACGCGCTAAAAATAGGGTTTCAACTTCTTACTGGTTGTGCTGAACACTAATCCTCCGATGAAATCAAAGCCCGCGGAAGCCCGCGCTCTATAATGACAATTTAGATCACGCACTACCTTGAAAACTGTTTACAGATGTAACGATATCAGTGCTGAAGGAATTCTTTTTAACGGCCGGGGAACAAGTGAGCGAGAAATGGGGAGTTTATCGAACACGACTAGTACACTGTAGTGTGAACACCAAGTATCTGCATACTTCAGCAATGACGTGTCCCCTAGTCAGTCCTAAATCACACCCATGCTTTTTTCCTCCTACAAATGCTTGTTAGGTAAGTATTAAAGAAAGCCTGCTCGTTTCTTTAATCCTCTCTTAGCAGTAGCTGCTCACAGATAATTACCACTAAACACCAACAAAACAACAGCAACGTCTTTGCTTTACCAAGAGAATTAAATATATTTATTAGTCAATGTTAATTCTACCTAAAGATACTATGTTCGCATGGATGATACGGTTAAGACTTAATTATTTCCAGCCATGCGTATCATACCTTTGCCACTTTTTACAGTTTAAAAATTTTCTCAACTTCTCTTCACTTATCTTATACTTTTGCCGAGCCATCAATTTCTTATTCGTGTATTTCATTGGCGTTGACAAGCCTGGCATGTTGACACGGGGCAAATGTTAACGGCATCAGCTTTCAATTTACCATAACAAGTTTAACGTCGTAATTGCTAACTGTAACTAACGATCGGTAACTAACACCTCTGCATTTTCTTCATGTACGCAAGATTTCTGAATTTCGGCTTTTGACTTTGATGATTTGCTAAGCAATGGGGAACAATATGTTAAATGCAGTAATCATGTTTTTGACCGATTGGCGTCGGTACAGAACTGCTCTGTACTGCAACTGGTCTCCGTCCAGCGTTTTCTCTTTACAATACACTTTTAGTTATATTAATTTTTTCTAATTCTTCAAGCAGGGTCATTTTGCATAACAAATAAAAATATACAATAAAGTATTCGGCCCATATTTAACAAACGAGTGTGATGTCTGAAAACAAATATCTGGCAGAAGTAGAGTGGATTTTATAACAGTAAGTCGGTCACCCCGCAGAACCTGTTTGCTGGTGGACCGTTGAATAAAGGCGACGACATGAAAAAGGGGCTACTCAAATGGCAGGGGTGGGGGAGGGGTGGGGTGTGCTACTGAATGTGACTCCTTGCTCATCATACAGCTTCAGTTCATAGGTGATTCAACTAAAATAATGCTGGATGTGTAAATACGCTGGCATTATTAAATCATTTCTGATATCTTTTTGACCGGTTTGTTCATTTCGTGTTCCGATTGATTGGACCAATCAGGATCTCGATCCGAAGTGTGAGGCATGTCGACCCGTCAATATATTCGCCAGCGGTAAATCCATAGAAACTTATCCACTCCTCACACACTAACTCGTTTCAGATTCTCTTTGGTCCAATCTAAAGAAACCAACAGAACGTCGTCGTTCATAGTCTAACTTTGTCTCAGTAGCAATCGCTCTGCGCACCTCTCTATAACTAATATACAGATTTCTTTTTTTGCATATATTTAACAGTTTTGATTAAATCAGTGCGCTGCTTCAGTTTTCACCACAAATGAGGTTAACAGCTCTTTTCAGCTCGCTGTTGCCGCACCCGCCATCACCTTCATCTTCGTCACCATCATCCTCATCCTCACCCTCACTGCACTCACAGTCACTATCATCATCTCCACTACAACTGTTACTTTTCTTGAATTGCAGAATGAAATGGCGGTCCTTTCGTCCAGTTAGTATTTCAAATGCTTCTAAGTTGATGGTGTTAGTTGCACCAACGCCAAGGCCTATAACTTTGGCTTCATACAGCTAAAAAATATAAAATATATTATTAAAAACTGGAACAATGGATGATGCAATTTAAGAGTTTTCATTGAGTTAGCCATCATAGTATATGCGCAATTATACTATACTCTACAAATTCTACGCGTAAACGAATAATTATTATGGAGGTTTTTATTGTTATTTTATTTTAGTTTTCTATATTTGCGGGGTGTTTTTAATGAAACGATTACACTAGTCGCGATTGCTTGATATGAGATGAACAAGAGTATAAATAAACGTTCTGTGAAAGGGGAACTTTGGGAAAAAATCACGCCGGAGAACCGATATACTTAGACAGCGTCCACTACGCCGGGGAAATTAAAAAGCAGCTTTATTTCTACGGTTAGGCCTATGCTACCGTTCGCACTAATCCGTCACGAAAACGGAACTTTTCGAAAACGCTCTTCGAACCGGACAGAAGGAATTTGAAGCCTGCTTTTCGATTTCGTGTGATCGGAAAATATTTTCAAAACGGAGCTTTTCGAAAACGATGACATCACGATAAGATTTCATGTGATCTCGTCCGAGTTTTCTTCAAACACAAATCCAAAATGATCGGTGATTGTTGTGTTTTTCGATTCCTCAGGCGTAGTGTGAACGAAAAACATCAGTTGATGTGTTTTAAGAGTGAAACTTCCGTTTTCCAATTTCTCCGGCATAATGTGGACGGGGCCTTAGAAATATTGAGCTGAATAATTACTTGTTTATTCTACTGACCGTTCTCAACTCCTCTGCAGGTATCCTTAGAGACTCAGATCCACCATAATTTTCACCGTCAGTTAAAAACGCGACCACCCGAGATACATCTCGGGATGTAGTGTTGAGGAACTCCTTGACTTGTACAATGGCCCCGTCGATTGTTGTAGCTCCAGCTGATAATATTAAGCTGTTGATTTGCTTTTGGACTAAATTCTTATGCCTTGTCTTGCCATCAGCAAAACTTGATACTAGGCTGTTCGTGTTATGGTCAAATCCAAATATGATGAAACGAGCACCGTAGGTCGCGGAAACCCTGAAAGCATCCACAACAGTCCTGAGAAATGCCACCTGTTTGTTGAAATCACTCCTACTTGTACTACCAGACACGTCTACAGCAACTACGATATCCAGTTGCTTTGAACATACTATAGAGAGACCAAAACATATAAATGAGTTATTACATACAATGCTTTCAACATTTCCAAGAGTTCACATTTCAAAATTAACGAAGAACGCCCAAATTTTGATGTTCAAATTTTAAAACAAAACCTTTAATTATACCGGAATGGCAACACACTAGGGAACCGTAAACAGACTAAAGAGTACCAATTGGTTTTTGACTGAAGGTTTGGATCATAAACTCTCGGTTCCTAATTGGATATTCCTTAGGTTTCCACTGTCTGAAAAAGTATTTTTAAGAATGGAACGCTCGGGTTCCACCCAACGCCGGAGAAATGTGAAAACGGTGTTTTCACTCTGAAAACCGTCAAATGTTTTCCGTCCACACTCGCTGGAGAAATTTCAAAACGGTGTTTTCACTCTGAAAGCACATCAAATGTTTTCCGTTCACAGTACGCCAGAGAAATTTGAAAACGCAACAATGGCGGGTCATTTTGGACTTATTTTTAAAAAAATTCCAAGACAGGGAAATCACATGATTACCGTGACTCTATCGTTTTCGAAAAGCTGCGTTTTCAAACTGCCTTAAATCCACATGAAAACGTAAAGCCGGCGTTTTCAAATTCCTCCAGTTTGAAGAGCGTTCTCGAAAAGCTCCGTCTTCGTGACGGATTAGTGTGGGTGGTAGGGTTTGCCTTTAACTGTAGAAAAAAAGCTGCGTTTTCAAATTCCTTTGGCTTAGTGTGGACGGGTCCTGGGAATCTGGATCTACATGGATTCGGATAATGATACGCGGGAGTAACTCCTCCACTGAACTATATTACTGGAACCAAACATGTCTAGTGAATTTCGAGACAATCCTTTCCAACTCGGATTGATCTCTATCTCGATTAGAATTTTTTTTTTTCCAACGAGCACTGATAACATTCGGAAACATCCGGCTAATCATCTGAATCAAACAAGGAAAAAGAGAGACCCCAAGAAATAATTAATTAATTGCATGCCGATCTAGCCTGGTTCTAGTTCGGAGAACGACGGCACATGAGAACAGCTTTTAACTTTCTGGTATCAAAACACAATTTATATTGTTCAATTCAGTATTTTTTGCTTGTCTTGGATGAACATCACATCTGATGCAAAGATTGTAGAATAGGCTAACATAAAATTAAACAGTTAATTCCACTTCTTTTTGAGGACAGAGTGTTTTTCCTTGCTATGGTGCTTTTTAAGTAGATAATGTAAAAAGAAAATCAACTGAGTATCCGAAGTCCATAATTAGGTACACAAACATGCCATAAAGATCTTGACGTGAATGTTATTCTCATGTTACTTGATTACCCCTTAGAGATGTTAGAAACTGCAGATCTTATGACATAAAACTGTTGCTGGTAACAAGGACAGTTAAAAAGCAACTTAACACTCCATTTTCATGACATCATAGGTCTCCAGACGCAAATCCTGTCTCAAAAAAGACACTGTTTCTAAAACTGATGCACTAAAGTTTCGCAAAGTAGTTTGATGTAACCACTCTTAATATAACGCAGCAGATATATGTGTCTCTGTTGACGTCATTGCTGTAAGGGTTAGAGTGCATTTAGTGTCAGCATAATACTGATGTTTGATGGTGTCGTACGTGCAGGAATGCCGTGAAATTGCGCAAGAACTCTCAGAATTTTAACAATATCAGCCAAGACACACTTAAAACAAGTGAGCGACAACTTGGGTCAAATTGTTCAACGATGAAGATTCCCTTTTCGCTCCCTGAGCTCGATTACGGGTGACTTACGGGTGGCATGCTAAATAAGAAACTATACAAAAGTCACTCTGAAACAAATTTCTCGCTTCCGCACATAACATACCTAATCAAATCGTATTTACCATTTTCCCACACTTAGCTAATATAATGTTCTAACCTTTCAACAAGTGACAAATAAGGGAAATTATGACTTTTGTGTTGATGAACTCGCTCCGGATGACTTCAGGTTCTTAATCAAATATTCTTAATGGCAATAATATTATGCCTTAGTTTTAAACAGCACGCTTAAGAACAGCTGACGTAGTTCACTGCCCTTCTTCAAAGAAATAGAAAAAGCGAAAAAAAATAAATAAACAGCTTATTCCGTCGTTGTGCTTTTAACAATGATTCAGGATTAGGCGTATAAAATAACAGTGCGATATCAATAGCTATAGTGTACATTACATTCTTAATGACTTTTTAAACGATAAAGAAAAGCACTTACACAATGGCCGCAGGTTATTTCATGTTTATTCATAAAAGCGTTCTTGAAGCATGAATTTCGCACAGATATAAGAGTAGGTATTAGCCCGGCCGTTTAAATAAGAACAATTTCTTGCGTAGGATGAAAATTATCGACTTTTAATGTATTTATTGCTTTTTAATGAAGAAATAATCACAGCGTTTCAGCCTGATCGGGAAACAATCGATGATGATGCGGCAATGGCGACTATGCACATGAAAGAAACTTATAATAACTTATATATTTGCTTTAAGTGTTGCTACAACAAAATACTGACTCTTCCTCTTAGTTTCAGCAGTAATTGCTTCTAATTGTCGTTTTTGTTTCCCACTAAACGAAACAATTTTACTTTGATTGGTTTAAATTAGTTAATTGGTCAAAAATCGACAAATGTCATCGGAGTTCTATTCACGTGAAACCTTTTATATGTTTGCCTTTTCAGTGACTCAATTCTTAGTCCATTTCAATCGTTTTAGTAATTATCTGATTGAAGTCGATGATACAATCTTCGAACAATTCTCAGCAGAGTATACATATTAGTTTATTAGGGCTTTTTTCTCCTCATTGTATGCCTTCGATCATTGTTTTTGAGGTTCTGGCAGTTCCGATAAGTATTCCACCGTATTTGTGGTTAAACATACCACTTCTGTTAATGATTTCATGCTGGAGTCCCCGACTTGTGGTAATTCTAAATCGAGCTTCCTACCTCCCGGACCTTATTGTCAACCTCGCTGGTGACAGGAAACAATGAGTTATATCGGAGAGAAAGAAATTGTACCAGCTCATACGGACTTCCCGGTGTAACTAACTAAAAAATTCAGCGGTTTGTGCTGCGCAATTCAACAGTTTTGAAAAACGGGAAGTTGAAACAACTGTCGCCGCAGTAATGTTTTTGTAAAGTTAGGGCCAAGCTTTGTCGATCAATGAGCCGACAAAAAATCGCCTGATTTCCATGATTTCCGTGAAATGTTGATGCTCAGTTTGTAGACTACCATAAATGATCTGAAAAATAGCGTTTCTGATGAATTCCCGTTCAAAATAGACAATGTTGTTTTTGTTGGCAAGCCATTATATTGGCACATGCAGAAGTAGCTCGCAATACTGTTCTCAAACTTACATACTGAGCTCGCGTTGTCTCTATCGTTTAGGTTTAGCTTCTTCCCAAACGAAATAGAACAATAGTCATTTTGCCACATTTTTCTCAGTAGGGTGCCAATAGTTTGAGCGAATTCTTAAAAAAATGCACAATTACATCGAATTGATGGCAAAGACGTTTGAAACAAATAGCACTAGCTTGGAAAGATGACAATTTTCCATCAGTCAATACTGTGATTTCTAGAAGCTGCTTGCATTTAGTCACTCCACTTGTGTTTCAGTACCAGTATTCGAACTTATTTTTAAAGCATACCTTACTGAAAATAGAGCATCGTAGGAAGGCTTAAATTTATTTTAAGAGTCGAAATTGGCAATACGAGTGCTCTGTTCTTGTGTCACTCGAGCTCTATGCGATCAGTTCTGACTAATGGCTGACCTTCCGAAACGTGCAGCAGTCGGTTCGCGACAGTAACATCGAAACTGCTTTAAGTTCAAAGTTAAATTGAGTGTTTTTCACTCGCCCACAGACTAAGCAAATCAGTTTCTTTAGAAATTCTCTCAGTTCTACGATCTCTTCGTTATCATGTTTGAGTTGGCAAAAATCTTAGTTAAAACTTTGAGAAAAGCTCACATCCAGTCGATTTTAGCTACATTAATTCGTAACATATTAATCACAAAACAGAAAAAAGAACATTCAAACAAAATAAAACTTAAGTATATAGTAGTCACTCAATACATTTACTTACAGATGGCTGCTTCTCCGCCAAAGCACAAAACCACAAGCAAAAGCGCAGCGCCGATAACTGAAAAATCAAAATACAGAAAGAAGTTAAAAACTATTCTGAATATTAACACTTAAAAACGCGCGTATCTTTAGCTCATGAAACAGTACAAGCTATTTGCTCCATAGTTAAAAAAGATTCTTACTAGATTTCGCCATGCTATCACTCAGAGAGGTCAACTCGCATCTAATATCTACCAAAGATCGTTCGTGGAATAAATAAGATTCATTTTTGTTTTATATTTGGGCAGACTGACACCCACTTAGAATCTATCATATATTCATTCTGTCCAATTATTGGCTGGTATTTGATGCACCCGCCACCGCACCCTTCTACGTGCAATAAGTTATTAATAGTTCTTCAGACACGAATATTTCATGGGAAAGCCATCATATAAAAGATAAGTACAACCTTTAAATTTTGTGGTTTTCGATAGTCATATGGATTGGTTATTTAGTGTTGTGAAAAATTGCAAATTTGCTTTACGACTTACAGTTTTAATTTTTGACAGTCTTCGCTTTGGCTTCAAAAAACATTTCTAATGGGGGAGTTGTAGCAAGGCGTGGGAAAAAAATTATGGTCATGACCCTTCCTTAATTATATATATTTGCTATCGACGTTCATAATTTCACGTCCTGTTCTTTGTGTGTGTGCTATTTCTCATCAGTACTATTCAATCAGAGAGCTTTTTGCACAGTTAAACCGCATAATGTTGATGTGCTGATGTTGAATACAGAGTGTGGCGATTGAAACTTATGTATTCCGCTAACACAATTACAATCTCGATATTTACTTTTTGAAACTGAAATCCTGCATAAAAACAACCTGTAAGATCTCAGAACGGGATAATAAAATGTGCTAAGAAACGAATTGACGAATATGAACCATTGACAATATAAAAACCATCCAGGCAGCGTGAGTTTTTTAAAGTGCTTATTACTGTCTCATAAAGAAACTGAATGATACTTCTTCAGAACGAAAAATCTCGATGTTTCACAAAGCACTTCGTTTGTTGATCTACTACATAAAATCGAATGTTAGAGAAAAAATTGTGTCAAATAACTTTAGTCAAATACAGTGAAATCCCGCCGGATTTTTCGAACCTCCAAGGAAAACGAAAATTGGCTCGAATAATCGGAGAGTTCGAGAAATCGGGGATAAAATTACAGTGCCCGACTGAGGAGAGGGAACGACTTTTGGTTCGAGTTACCGGGAGTTTCGGAAAAAATGAGACTTCGAAAAATCGGGATTCCACTCGAGATGTACGACTCATCAGCACAGTCAGATGTTTTTCCCCTTCTTCGAAGGGTAGACGGAAAAACTATCATTAGATAATTATTGGTTTGTCAATCGTACTTGCGTTTTGATCGTTTTATTAAGTATTGTAAGCTTTGATTTCTGTTTAACAAGCATTAGAAATTGCTAACAATAGCTGACTTGAGATACTGATAACTGTTCCAGTAATTTGATTGATCTTAATTCGCAACTCTTTTGTAAAAGTTGATTAATTTTTCAATTCAGATATGCTGTTTGATAATTTAATTACGTAACCATTGTCATCTCCCATATGAAACTTTAAACGGCAGGCTCTGCTGAGTCATTTTACCGCAAATTTACATCTTTATTTGCCGCGAAATACTATATTTTCTTCATCCTCGACGCAGATTAGCTTCCGCCTCGGGTCTCGTGTCGCTCAGCTTGCAGAGCAACCACGGAACATCCATATAAACGGTCAGTCTGCAATATCGGCGACAGTGATGACGAAGTCTTCCTTTCTTCTTGTTGTTCCACTTCCTTACTAGGATTAGCGCCCACTGAATAGAGATGTACAGGTCGTGCCCTGTCCAGCACTAAAACACCAAAAAATGGAGTGATATGCATTGCCTTCCGTTCATTATTTGAAACGTTTCTGTTATGCACCGCTAGAACTCTTGTTCTAGATAAAATCTTGCCTCAACAATTCAGTCCGCGTGTAAACTTCTATTATTTCCTTTCACACGGAAAAAGTCACTTTTAACTGTTTAATGACCCAAAATTAAAGAATAATTTAAAAAATCATGTCTTGGTCGACCTGCGCAACGAAAAACGTTCTCTCTGACAATTGAGGAAACGGCTAAAGTGTTTGTTAACGGTAGAACTGTCTAGCATCAAGTACTGATCCAAAGTTTTGTTGATAAAACATAACCGACAATGATCCTCTCAGTGCCATCCGAGAAAGATACGTACAGCCGAATATAACACAATTCAGTTGTGCCCGCTAAACCAATATTACTAAAGACTGACGAACAGACACGGAATGCTGTGACTTCAGTTGCCCATTGCTCAATTGCTTGGTTTAATTGTCACCAAGAAGGTTTCCTTGCAAGCGAGCTTTGGTTTTTATTCAGAGAGTGTGAGAGTAGGTATATGTAAGCAATAGGAACAATAAATAAAACTTATTCAACTTTTCAGTTAGCTCTGATGTGTCGGAGCTCTCTTAATGTCAAAAGTATTCAATCCTCTTGAAGTATATTATGAGGAAAAGAATATTTCAAAAGATTGCATTACGTGAAGAAATTGAATTTCCTACAATATTGTTAGTTTTCCCTTCGGAAATCTTTTAAATTTCTGTTATACATGAATGTAGAAATAGTCCAAAATAGATTTTTAGTTTGAGAAACCGGGCTGTTGATCCGGAGCGTCATAACTTTTGTCACGTTTTTTTCAAAGAGGCATCGAAAATTTGAATGAAAATTAAATATATTTATATCTAATATTTTGATCTTTTGTGTGTTTAAACAACCACGCTCGATCAATTGTCTGTTAACAATATCTTTTGAGCATGGAGGTCTCTTCTCTTGTTTGTGGTCCATATTTGTTCAGAAATTGGTTTTGCGCAGAATGACGTCAACTTTCAATTGGAGACGACTCTCGCGACCCGGTGAAGTCGCCCCTGGAGAGAGATAGGAAGTTCCATAAAGCGAAAGTGGAGCAGGGCTTTGCGAAAGCTTTCGCAAGTTATCAACCTGTTTTGTCAAGTTTAGGCTGCTTATGGGAATTCTGCAGCCATTAAAAGGGAAAGATAACTTGTCTCAGTAACTCAGTACTATTTCTATTTTTTATTTCTTATATAATAAGGAAAGACACAGTGAACACAGCACTAAGCCGGCATGATTAAGGAAAGGACTCAGTTTATGCTATAGGTCATTTTAGGGCTAGTATTTCGGTCCAACGGAGTTTTTAACTATACAAAATGCGCGTTAATATATATTGGAAGACTCCCAACCTAACAGCCGAAACGATTTGTTTTAACGTTAAGTACAGGTGTAGATTTCACACAGCGTGCGTTTCATAGAAAGACTTGAATTTTTACACGCTTTCATTAGCGACTAAGACCTCTTTATTGCAAGATAACTGCCGATTTAGTCCGGCTTTAGAACAAAACTGAGTTGGAAAACTAAGTTGGAGAGAAAAACTCACCAAAATGTTTCAGTGACCAATCTGCTTATTATGAATCTCTCTAGTGTGCAATACAGGGCACTCAGAAGCAAAAATGTTGGAAACAAATTTTGGACTTCTCTCCGTTTGATTGGCATAGCATAACCAAAGACCGCTTACAAGCGAATGCGGTCAGTTACCACAGTTTCACATGCAAATAGAAACTTGGTATGATGAGGGAATGTTTAAATAGTTATGTCACAAAGAGAGGCGGCCGCTTACGTGAGGTAACGATCTGGGAGGTACTGATCATAACAAATGTGAAAAACAGATCTCTTTTCATACAAGAACATGTGTGCTGACCCACGCATGACACAGCAATCTCAGGGCATAGCATTAGCGAGCATAAATACAACATATTTCGTGACAAACTGATACTCAATGCAGTTAAGTACAAGAATTACGGGGCTAACCATTCCCAAGTCAGCGCTAACTAAACTTTAGCTAACTGAAGCGTTTCTCAGACCAACCGGAGTGCTATTCAGGCTAACCAAAGTGGTGTTTAGGTTAACCGGAGCACATTTTAGTGTGGTGCAATTCCCGCATTTAGATGTAAAAGTCCGAATGATCAATACCATTAATGAAAGAGTCTGCACTTCAAGCCAACGAGCATCATTAATGTTTGCGTTGTTTGCCTTCGTTTGCGCGCAAAACATCACAAGAGCATTTTGGAGACGATAAGCGAGTGGTTGCGTAACATGGTGCGTCAAGTTTCTCGAAAACTGACAAAGCGAAGCAAACACTTTTCTTTAAAGGAGCTCAGTCACGGTTTGCGCATATTGAAAAGTTTAGCCTCAATTTTTCAAATTCGTCGTTTGTAATCCGCCTTTATCTTCTCCATCCTTAGCCATCCTTGTTCCGTTATGGTTTATCATAATCTCTTTAGTGTTTTTCTATCTTATTAACCTGTTATTTTCAGGTTTCCTACCATTTAAAGGTAATTTTGTGTGTGGCCAAAATAACTCAAAATACCGTGACTGAGCTCCTTTAACACAAGACAATAAATTTTCACAATAAGCAAAGATACAACAGCGCCTCGTAAGGACTACTGAGAGGGTCTCAAACCGTCAAACGCAAAAAAAGACTACAGTCAAGCAGTAAATTAGAAACAATTTAACCATCAGCCGTCAAACAATCGAACAAGTAACCGTCAATCAACAAAACGCTATATTTTTTTAACCTTCTAAGGTAACCTGCATATTGAGACCCTCTACTGATGTCTGACCACGAACGTCAAATATTGATTACACCACCCACCCTGACTACTGACACAATCAGTCTGAACTACAGAATAAAAGCCATAATTTAATCAAATGCCATGATAATAAAATAAAATGTATTCAATTAAATATTTACGGTAGTTTATTATTATGCAATAATTGGTTTCTGCACGCACTCGGACATGGCTAAAACGTTACGTCATGGCAATATAATAGTATGTGGATTAGAAATTCATGAAAATTACGTGAAATAAGTTATTAAATAAACTATTGTCCAACCAAATGACAAGCCCATTAAACAGCTGACTTTTTAGTCCATCAAAAAAATGACGAGGGCTACGAGGACTGCGAGTAGACGTTCTTTCGCTTAGTTCGTCGTGCGAGACGCGAACGAAACCCGCGATTTCGCGTGCTTCTCACCCCGGGATTTCGAACGGCCATTTTTTCTCGCGGTTTACGGTTTCACTCGACGGACTGAGCAAAGGAGGGACTACTCGTAGTCTAATTGATGGCAGCAATCAAAAAGAGGTTGATTTGAGATTAACAACTTCTGGTCCCCATTTCACCACAGACAGGTCTTGAAATCTCCTCAGCTGTTTTATGGGCTGCAACATGGCACTGCTTCACTTGAACGTCAGAAAAGTACCTTGTCACAACCCAGCAATGACCACAAAGTTGCAATGCTAAGATATTTCAGTCTGGGCAAATTTCGCTCACAAGAATCATTTCAGATCTTATCACTTAGCAGGTTTTCTTTCACACACAGTATTATCACAAAGAAATCATTCTTAATTCCCGACAGCATCCATTAGTCATGTGACCAACCAAAGATGATGCTGATGACGATGCCGCTGAGTCGTCTTCCGTTTGCTGCGAGTCGTCTTCAATTCGTCTGTAAGATAAGGCCTGGGTACCAGAAGAGGCAGCCTGGCTGGGCGTCGGCTTCAGATTGTATACAATTACGCCAAGTATTATAAATCCTAATGATCCAAGGTACAGTGCTGAGAACTGAAACAAATTTTTAACATTACAAATTGTAAATGCTGCCGAACAATTTTTTTCCAGATACTCTCACCACACCAAATACAAGCTTTTTCTGTATTTTATGCAAATTATGCCAATCAGTATTATCACAAGGAAATCATTCTTAACTCATGACAGCATCCATTAGTCACGTGACCAAGCAAAGATAATGATGATGATGATGATTTAACTACAAAATGTATATTCCAGCTTTATATTCCAGCTTATCATGGTTTCTGTAGAAGCGACTAGGAGTATTTCTACTCCTCCCTGGATGGGATGCTAGTCCATTGCAGGGTTACCCCCAGCATTAAGTTCGTTGGTACCCATTTATACACCTGGGTTAAGAGAGAGGCACTGGGAGAGTAAAGTGACCAGGGCTCAAACTCGGACTGCTCAATTTGGAGATGAGTTCACTAACCATGAGGACACCATGCCTCCCACGCATACATGTAATGCAACAAACTTGCATTACCAGAGGGTGGTTTTCTTTTTTAAAACCAAGAAGCTAACGAAATCAGGCAATTTGGTTTCTGCATTTACTTATCATGATTAATTTAAACATTTAAGTATTACACCAAATTTGTACTAGTTACATCACAGTCACATGCACCTTCCTGTATACAGGCCAACTGTTTCATGTATTTCAGTCCTTCACATTTCTGCATTTGATGTGATTGACCATTGCGACTGTGATTGCTCTGAGGACTTCTTTATTCCATCAAATGCATAACTTACCTTGTAGTGGAATAGAAATAAGCCACAGAATAAGCTGTAAAAGTCTGCCGTCAACAGAGACAAGTTGACAACTGTGGCACTACTGAGCTTCATGACCACTGGCATCAAATTGTAAAGTAAGAACAAACAAAGGCCAAAGCCAATGATGAACAAAACTGGAAAAATAGAATACCACATACAGACATTGATTAGATTATACCAGTTAACACCGTGATAATACATCTATTTACAGTGTTTTTCTTTTTCTCTTACAGTGTTCAAGGGAAATGCTGTAGAGTATCCACTATAATTATGGTTACTAATTCCTACAAAATTAGTATAGGTAATCGTACGAATGCGAGTGCAAATGAGGATTTACATTACGAGTAATATTTGAAAATTCTCTCAAAATCGCACAAACCTTTAGGCGAGTGCAATTTCAAAGAATTTTCAAATATCACGAGTAACGTAATGGTAAATTGCTTGAGCATTCATACATGTATGATTGTTCATTTATTTATATATGACCAAGAAAGTTATGTTAAGTTAAAGTTAAGATTAATTGGCCTGCTCTCAGCCAATCGCAATGAAGGAATTTTCTCAGTTTTATAATAATGCTATTAATTCCTACGTGTCTTGGCATGTAACATCAAACTTAACGATATTTTACATCTGATATGCAATGTAATTATTTATTGCATGTACATTATCAACAAGGGTTTAGCGACCATATACACACGTAAGCATGTGTGTACCTCCAGAAATCCATTGGAAAACATACATACAAACATATTTTAGCATGTAATATTGAAATTATTAAAAAAGGAATTAATAGAAACAAAATTTCAACCACATTTATTTACATATAAGATTGCTACTCAATTTACGAATGTACTAACCAATTTTAGAGTCCCATTCAATGGTTGACAGTTGATGCCTTTCAAGAATAACCCTGCAAAGAGTATTGCCAAAAAAGGATTATTAAACTTAAATAAATTATTATGTTACAGATCAAGGTTAGGCAGTGGGGAAACATAAGACCCTAGCTGCCAGCCCCATGTTTGATATTCATTCCTGCTATAAGAAATTTTACTCAAGTCCTGCCACAGTGTGAACAGGCTTTTAGCCAGGATTTGAAAAGTGGGTGTCAAGAATTTGCTAAGATTCTTCTCAAACAAACAGTTTTAAAGAGACATACGAAATTTAATAAATTAAAAACAATTTTCTTTCAAAAGTGGGCATTATAATCATAAATTTAACTTACATCTGGATAGCGGATATGATACTCCCAAATAAACCAATCATGCCGAGAAATTCGACTCTGCTAAAATTCTTGACGACAAACTCTTGTGCAACATTGGACACTCCATACATAACAGCACCACACAGCACAAGAACATCTCCTATTGCTTGGTTTTTACCTGTCAAGCAAAAATAGTTACCAACTTTAAATTCTGAATCAAATTAATAAATAAAATTACATTATGAGCCTGAGATTTTTGTTGTGTGATAGTTGACAGGGCTGCAGTCTGAGTCAACTATTCATGGATAGAAATTGAGAACGAATAATCTAGATATTACATGTATATTGGTATACATGTAAATCTAAGTTACATGTAGTTGTTCAAAACTTGATCTAAATCCTCTTCACAAACGCATTGAAAATGTATAAAAGCAGCTATCATTTTGTTAACAACCGCACACTGCCAGGCTACTCACTATCTACAACAGAATAGAAATTGAGTATCATAGGCAATAAAAGAATTTCATCCATGATAGAACACTAGTAAAGTTATACTAATAACACTTAGAATATAATAATTGTACAACTGTCAAATGTCCAAGGGTTTTGTGAATGATAAAAATTTAAACTGACCTGAGCCATAATAGCGAGATCCATAATAATCTGCTACAACCAGACAGGCAATGCCAGCCAAACAGGTTAACACTCCTGAGTAATGAATACATTCATAGCGTACTTTCAAGAATATCCATGAGAGTACCAAAACTGATATTGTAGAAAAACAATCCAGAACCTGAGTAGAAATGAAAAATTCCATTAAATCTCAAGTGAACCCGCATTTAGCAAAATGTTCGAATCTCTAGACTAGTTATGTAAGTATGATTGGTGCAGGGGTGTAGGTACTTGAGCCAACCAGTGCTTCAATACTGGTTTTTCATAAATGATCAGCGTCTGATAACGGTTACTTTCTCGCGATTCTGGGATGATACATTCGACAAAGGTTTCCCAACAGCATCATGTGTTTTCCATCCAAGAATAATAACAGAACACTTTATCAGGAACATAGTAGTAAGTTGACATTAACATTTTGGTGTCTATTGGTTTCCATGGAGATTCCTCATTTGCAAACTGAATACTACTTGCACTTGATATTTGTTGCTATTGGCTTTGATATATATTTGAGTAAGACTTCATGCCCAATCTACTCAAGTTAACAACTCACCTGAATGCTTGTAAGATTAGTGTACTGGTAAGCTTTCACTACCAAATAGTTGGCTTCTACATCACAAAGTGCTAACAGAAAATATTTCCATCCTGTTTCTTTTAGTCTAGTTTTGAAGTCCCTGGGATGGCAAGCGAGTGTTGTTGTATACACAAATCCTAATAATAAATAGTTCAAGAAACTTTGTGTTGTTGGAATCTCGATACCATAATTAGTCACTAAAAGCTGACTGAAGACTCCAGTTCCACAAACAAGCCAGGACAACAGTTGACCAAGAACAAGAATTGCTAAAAATTTCCTGAAATGGAAATTGAAGCGGTCAGATGTTTATATTCCAACATGCAATAATTCGATAATTAAGTTAAAACAAAGGAAATCAAAGCAGTAGTGGTTTTGAAATCTGACCTTAGCTGGCTTTAAGTTAGTGCTTTGCCGTTAAAAATTGCCTTCTGCAAATATCGTGCCAGTATGGCGGTTCAGTTTAAAACTTGGTCGACTTTTAACAAAATTTAAGCAGAAATCTTTGATTCTTTGCTAACAAAATTTTTAACCTCAATCAAAACACTCACCGGTTGAAAATTCTCCCACAAAACGGCGAAAACGGCAGACTTTCTACGGTACGTTGATCTGGTTCGTCCGCCATCTTGGAAAACAGGCTATATTCTAAATATGGGCATCATGACCAAATTTGAAATATACTGAATGCGAGGTTGTTTTGGAGGAAGGAAGCCTTGGCGGAAGATATCATTTGAATGGTGAAAGATTGTATGTGCTTTTTTCTTCAAAGGTATGACGTTTCGCTTAAACTTGAACAATTTCAAAATTTTCATAACTTAAATTTGATGTTTCTGGTGTCTTTGAGGCGAAATGTTGCTACATTTGCTTGTCTCATCTCACTCTGCTCACTCCAAAAATCTTAAATGTAGCAATTTAAGCTTACGTGTGGCTTATTTCAACGTTTGTACTTTGTACATCTTTGCTGACTTAAATACGTGATTCGTTGGAAGGTACCTTAGCTGGAAGGTGCCCTAGCTTAGCCCCAACCAGATAATACAATTAATGACTATGTCCTGTTTTCTATTGCAGAATTTTCCAGATCTAAATTCGAAGGCATACTTGCTGGTAGTAGGCATTTTGAATGCAAATGGTTGGATAATTTTCTTGCACGTACGATCCAGGTGTTGTAAATTTGTACAATTTAAAGATGAGCCGCCAACGGAGTGCAGATGCAGCCCGGTTCAAGCCAAAATATTTTTACCAGTTCAGGATTATTTTAATCGGTGACAGTACTGTTGGAAAGTCGTCGCTTTTGCGTCAGTTCACAGAAGGACAGTTTATTGAAAATTCCGATCCAACAGTTGGTGTGGACTTCCATGTGCGAGTTGTGATGCTTTCATGTAAGTTAGTTAAACCTTTTCGAAGTAGTTATACCTGTTGCGTTATAACTCATGCTAGTTCATATTGTGGCTTAATCAATTTTGTCGCACAAATAACCTTCGATCGCTTGAAATATCTCTTTTTCCCTGCCTGAAAATCATGTAACTTGTGTTTTGCGGTTGCTTGCCCGCTGTAGTTGTAAACAAAGTTTGGGAATTTTTCTCTCAATCCACAGACAATTTTTTTGCCACTGAACCATGAGTTCCCTATGTCCTAATCGCCATGAATATCATGTTGTATAGCGGTACTCAAACGCGTTCGATATAAGCTTAAATTATAGTAAGTCTTATTACGTAAGTTATAAGCTTAATCATTTCCCCGTTTGGGCGTTCTAAAGAAAAGATCATTTATTATCATCCGTTACCTGCCAGATCTTTGGAAAATATACATCATTTATACTTGCAAATTAGTTTGTCTCGAAGACATGTGTACACTGGGAAAAAATGTTTACATCTTTTGGATCCCATAATTACCAAGGGATTTAGGTAATTTGATTAAGTTGCAGATCACTTTCTTTTTTAAGATAATCTTGAAGCTTATGGTGTGAATGTCCCAAAAAATCTGTGGTTGTAATAATTAGAACCTGTTACATTAGATTAAAATGGGGAAAAAGTATAGGTAGTGACACTTAGATCTATATTGAAATGGTATTTCACATATTTTTTACATAATTAACGGAAGATTGAAATCACAGGGCAGGGTAAAAAACGCACGTGCGATGACAAGTAAATCTGCTCTTGGGAAAGTGAAAATAGAAGTTAAGTGGCCCCGTGGGCAGATGATGTACGCCTCAGTAGTCTTGTGAGTCTCAGTGAAAAATTATGTCAGCTTGATAAAATGATCATACTTTCCCATCAGGAACTATTTTAAAGCTTAAGATTGCAAATTGAGTGAAGGAATGAGTTGAAAGTGTGGATTGATTTAAAATCCAAGCGTACTTTGTTTGCAATGTCCTCTGATTGCCATATTGGCAAGTATTATATTAAGTTGGGATAAGTGAAAACTAAACTTGGCTGGCCCACTGGGCAAGTAGATTTCAAGTGGGGACAAGTTGGTGTCATTCACTCGTGCACAAAATTAGCTTCTCTTTATTACTCTCCTTGAACAGTTAACTGTAACATGACTATTATTCATTAATAAGAAATTCAAACTAATACAAGAACTACTGACAAAATTATAATAATTATAGTTACACTTGATGAGCAGGCATCACAAAAAAAAATTATAATTATAAAAATTATGTGAGATTAACTTCACAACTTGTGTCCAGAATTGAGGTTAACATTAAAGTTACTTGTAATCTGTACTAAAGTAATGTTATGTAATATGTTTGAGAATTAAATGGCACATTTGAGAGGACACGTCTCACCAGAAACAAAAGTTGCTTTTTTCAGCTACAAAATAATTATTATTATCATGATGAGATATTGTTGTTATTCCTCAGCTGATGTAAAAATAAAACTGCAGATCTGGGACACAGCAGGGCAGGAGAGATTCCGCTCCATCACATACTCTTACTACAGAAACACTGTTGGATGCCTAATAGTTTATGACATTACTAATAGGGAGTCATTCCTTAATGTCAAAGACTGGTTATCAGAAGCCAAACAGTGTGTTGAGGAGAGCGATGTTGTCTTCATGTTGGTTGGCCACAAAATTGATAAAGAATCCAGGAGAGTTGTTTCCACAGAGGAAGGAGAACGCTTTGCCGAAGCAAATAATATGATGTTCATCGAGACATCAGCTAAGGTTTTATGTAATATTGAAGAAGCTTTTATCAGAGTGACCGAGGAAGTTTATAAACGAATGGAGAGAGGAGACTTAGGACTCAGGGGTGGCTGGGATGGGATTAAAGCTCTGCCAATGCGCCCTACAGATGTTCTTGGAATTGGACATGCAGCTTCTGCTGAAGATTTACTGGAACAGCAAGAGTCTAGGAGATGCTGTCCAGGTTGATGCAAGTACTTGTGTCAGCAATATTTTAAGCTACCTTAATTTACCTTTTATCCACAGAAAAATGACAAGAGTTTGACACTCAGTTTAGGAGAAAAGGGGTTAAGTCAATAAAAAAAAATAGTCCATAGTAATCTAATACTAAACCAAGCACAAGGGCCGTGCTGGGGAATAATGGTATCAGGCCGAGGTCAGTATATGAGCACAGCAAGGTACAATAAGGTCCATGGATGTAAAATGGCTTAGCTCAAGTATTCTAGGTTAGTTAAGTATATTAAGTTTATTATATGGCACTTGAAAACAAAAATACATAGCTTGTGAAACTGACTCAGTCATAAGTCATATGGCAAAGTCCTGACCAAGAACGAACCAATCAGAAAACTCGAATTTACCTCAAGACTTGACCTTGCCATATAATAACTATAATAATTATATTGAATGTTTTTGTGTGAGTGGATTTTTTAGTGTGTACTTAATTCAGCTAGGGAACATTAATGTAATGGTGAATCTAGTTAGGTTAAGGTCTTTTTATTCTGACTTTCTTCTCACCAGGAAGAAGTTCATTAAAATAATAATGTGCCATTTCTCAGAGGAGCTTTGTTGGACTACCAGTGGTCAGAATCTAGTCTTTGAACAATACCATGATTCTCAGCAGTGATATTGTTTGTGCTGACTGGCTGATTTTTGCAAGTTCAGACTGCTAAATGGTACTTGTAGACTTTAACATGTTGCGTGACTGTGAGAGGATTAACCGAACTTGCATTTGTTCCCTGTTGTTAAAGTTGATTTAGGATTATTGGCTGAAGGAGTATATTAAGCAGTCTTCATTGTAAAGTGTTTTTGACTTATATGGCAGGCCCCTTCTCTGCCTTTTGATAATAACATACAAACTCTGCTCAATCAATGGTATTCACTACTGTCAGGTTATAACCATTATTCATGTGAACATCACATTTTTAGCTTCTCACCCTCAAGCCTCACCTTCAAAGTGCAGTAAATTATTAATCTAAAAACTTTAAAAAAATTTTAAGTTAAAGAGAAACCCAAACCAGCAAGATGAATAGAAAAGCCATGTGAAAACAGCATGAAAGTACTACTGGTTTTTAAAGAATGTTTGCATAAACAAGGCTTGAGGTGAATTTCAGTAAACAGCATCTTACAGGTGGTCTGTTATCTTAGTTGACATCTCTCTTCTCCAACAGAAGTTCACTTCTGTTGGTTTAAAAGCTGTGTCTGTGGGTTGTCATTAGTAAATTCGGGTGCATTTTTTTTTCAAAGTTTCTTTTTTGTCCTTGCAATATTCTGATTGACAGTAGTAACAAATTCTACTGTTATTAATATTTAAATTTATCATCATTTAGACCTTAGAGCAGAACTTACTAGTTAGATGTTTGTATGTTATTGAAAGGTGCAGTGTAAGGTTAAAGCCATGAACAAAGTATTTTCTAAATTCTTATCCTTCCTAAATTTCAGCAGAAAAAAAAACTCTACACTGTACCAGAGTTTCCACTAAAAGTGTCACAGTTCACTATGTTTTTCTCAGTGTGAGGTGGGGGACGGGGGTGGGAAATGGGTTTATTAGTCTTGTAGATGTTTGGTATCAAAAATCACTACAGACCGAAATATTTTATTAATCATTAGTATTTTACCTAGATAAACTGTTTCTATTGTATCCTGGCAGTTCTTAAGTTATTTGCCATAAAAGTTTTTTTTTTTTTTTTGTAATTTTAGAAATAGTTTAGTAATTTTAGCGTATGTTTTAATCTGTTGTATTATTTTTGGTGCTTTTTATTTGTTATTTTTAAGTGGTTATCACTTCTGAATCATTATTTTATTAAAATGCACAAAGTCAAGAACTTTTAAACTTAAAACAGTTTGGAATGATAAAGTTACCTCTAGGTGGAAGTAATGTGTAATAGGCAGGTCAGTCAGAGGGCTGTAAAACCCAACCTTTGTTACTATAGTTTGAGGTGGAAAAAGTGCCTTGCATTAAGAAGGGCCTCTTTTTAACTGATAAGAATCTGAATGCAGGAATGTACTCACGAACAGAGCATAGAGAAATGCAAAGCACAGCCATGTCCTTAGTGCATGTGACACTTCGCAGCTTATGTAACTTAACAATCACAGGGAGCAACTACTCTTACTATTTCATCCAAGCCACATGCAAGATAAACTTGAGAATGCATGCGACATAGAATTGGAACTGGAATTAGAAGGTCTTCAAGGAAAGGTCAAGGTGCTTGAAGTAAGATCTTCCTTAGTTTTCTTGCCCAAGACATCCTACATGTATTTCTGACTATGACTATCACGTAAATCGCTACCAGAAAATTGTTTGGACACTCCTAAGGTATCTTTAGAGATAAAACACTGGCTGACTGAAAGGAGACAATCAAGTATATGTGACAGGACTACATGCCATCCATTAGGATTGGACAGCCAAAATTGGAAAGGCTCTAGGCCAAATCCAATTAATTGGCTGTCAGAGGAATTTTTTGAATCCAATTATTTCCAGACGTTGTCCTCTTAGTTATCTATGTTGTGTTAGCTTGTGAATAGGCTCTCTAGTCAAGGATGGGGTGAAAAAAAGAAAAAAAAGGGAGGAAAGCCACTGTCCTTCCAGCTGGGGTCAGACCCCTCCAGCCAGAGCCTGGCTAAGGTTGTGTATGACACTCCAAATTACTTGTAAATTGGGACACTATCCAAATTAAAATTTAATTAAATTTGGACAACTTGCAGAGTGAACAAAATCATAATAATATTGTGCCCAAACTTTTGGGCTGGTAAATATATGATAATGATGGTGAACAAGGACTTTTTCAGAACCCACAAGACCCAGAGTAAAGGTCATATGACGGTAAATTATAGTGTAATATATACTCGTAATGAACAGCCACAAACATTTTTCATAACATTTTAATTTATATTGAAAGTAACATTCACATACAAACACCACCATAACCATGTGCTTAGAAATATTATTTCACAGGGTGTTAACAGTACAAATTTACTTCAGTCTGTAACTGGGTGAAAATATGAGATTTCTTAAAGGTTTCCTTACTTTTGATGACTGTTCTTCAATTTACACATTACTATGAGCAGTCCATACTTTCCCTTGTAGACCATACAGTGAGCAACAGAAAGTTTAATATCTTACAAGTTGAAAAACTGTCCACATGAAAATTAAATGATATCTAATAAAACTTGCAATACTGACAAAACTGTAATTTTGTTGAATAATCACGTAAAAACAAACATTCCAATCTAAAACCTGTTTATAACTTAGTTATGAGATGAAAAAAACTTGTCTGATAACAATCAGTAAATTTATTCTTTAACCAGGTGTCCCTTGTATTATTTTGTGAAGAAGTGGTTACTCGCAAAGCTGAATATTATCCTGAAATCTGTTATGATTGTTCAATGAAAGTAGAAAGGTTATGAACTTAACTTCATGTAATCTCAAAAGACAATAACATTGTATGCCTTGTATACCAATAATGAGTAACAAACACCTCATTATTGTTAACACTTTTGTGCGTTTTTTATCACACATCCAACACTGAGTAATTGTATTACTCAAACTATAAACTAAGAAAATTGATTACATGAAGTAGTGCATGTCATACAGCAGATATATCAGCATCTTCAGGGATAAGGCCAAGTCCCTTCAGAGCATAGATGGCTGCTTGTGCCTTGGCCTGTTTCTTATTGCCACATACAACAGCAGGTTGGTACTCAACACTGTTAACTAACACTTTAAACAGAAACTGCTTGTGGTGCGCAGGGCCATGGTCAAACACCAATGAATAGTCTGGCAGTTGCCATTTCCTCTTGCTGCAATATTCCGCCAGAGCAGACACGGGGTGCTTTCCTGGAAAAGCAAGTGAAAACTAAAGATTAGTATGCCTAAAATGGAAGCATATTTCACAAAATGCACAATGCTTTCAGGCACTGATGTTAGTAACTGTTTCAGTCAGCTCTCCACCTCACATGAAGTGAAGCAAATAATATTGTAAGCAAGAACAGGCTTAACACCAATCTCCTTGCAGACATTATTTTGGTTGCCACGACTGCCTAGAGAGGGGATGCATACACTGTACATGCTTGGCAACCAAATAGCAGCCACAAAGGATGATAGCTAAGCACTGTTTATCTCACAGAACAGTAAAATGTGCCTGGTTTGGACCTTTGTCCCAATAAATTGTATTCTGTATTTTGGTTCTCTGCAGTGTTATCACACAGACATCCTGAAGGTTCCAGTGCGATCCAACAGTTCCTGTGACAGAGGCAAAGATTTGATGGCAAAGAAAGAAAGAAAGAAAGAAAGAAAGAAAGAAAGAAAGAAAGAAAGAAAGAAAGAAAGAAAGAAAGAAAGAAAGAAAGAAAGAAAGAAAGAAA